CATCTTCCAAGCAGCCTCAAAGGGCCATCAGGTTTTCCACTCTAATATAATGAAAGAGGTTGATTACTGGGCATTTCTTCCTCCCTCTTAAACGACCCTTAGGAAAATATTATTCGTTTCCTCCATGCATAATTTAAAGAGTCATTAACTCCTCCCTCCCAGTTCTCCAAGCCGCACATACAGATGGGGGGGATTGGATTCATTACCGCCCCCGTTCCTCAGTGACTGCCAATCCCACACATTGCAATAAATATCCACCTGCTCATAAAAACAAAACGAATTTAACACAGAGAGACACTGCAATACTGTATTCCTAAGATTTGCTGCTGTTCGTTTCCAGGGCTTAAACTGTGGAGGGGATGATGATGATGCACAGAAACAGAGCAACTTTTCGACTACATCTTATAGACAAACAGAGGAAGACTTGCTCCACAGTTCCTTTCCTTATAAAGTGAGGAGGGGGGTTACAGTAGCACCCTCTTCCCACACACAGACAAAGGCATCATCAGTCACTTCCATTAAATATTAATTCCCCCACCCTTTGGGGGAGGTGGAGTTAATTACCGAGAAACAACCCAGCCCCCCCTCTTCAGATCCCCTTGCCTTTCGCTCCCCCTCCCCTCCATGTAATTCCAATAAATCAGAGACACCATTGTAATGAATTCCACTCCCTCTCTGGGTTGGGGGGGAGAAGCCCTCCCCATCACCCCTCCCTGCACCCATATTTATTTATTCAAAAAAGGGGGTGTCACCCATCCCCATTATTTAGCAGCCCTTCATCAATGAAGAGAGAGGTGAGTTTTAACTTGTGCCTCTTTTTCCAAGAGAAGGGATGGATGCCCTCCTGCAGCCCCTTCTCCAACCTTCCTGCTTTTCCTCCCCTAAAAGTCTGGGGATGGGGCAGGATTCTCAAGCCCCCTTCCATTCTATGGGCTCCGCCCCCTCCCTTAAAGCCATCAAAACAACCCCCTCCTCCCCGGATGAAAGGTGCTGGCGTTACCCCCTCCGTTTTTTTCTGAGTGGGAACCAAAAAGGCCCCCCCAGACCTCCATCTCCCAACCCCTCAAATGTGGCCCTCCCCCTCCCCCCTCAAATATACCCCCTTTCCCCAACCTAAAGGGCCCCCCTCTCTCCCACCCAGCCCCCTTAAACAAGAGGGGAGGTCTGTCTCCAAAAACACCCCCACCCAAAATTGAGGGGTGGTCCATCAGTCCCTCTCCACCCTTCCTAGGAGGGGGATAGCAAACAACCCCAAACAGAGGGGGAGTTGTTTCCCCCCTCCCCCCCCCCCCCAGAAACAAGGTTTACCAATCCCTCTAAGGGGTGGAGAGAGTCCTCCCTCCCCCCCAAATTGGGGAAGGGGTCGTTAGCCTTTCTTCTCCCTCTCTCCCTTTTCTGAGAGGAGGGAAGAAGGGCAGGGCCTCTCGTGACACTGAGGGGGGATTAAGTCCACCCCCCACATGCCCCCTCTCTTTTATTGCGCGGGGGGGTGACCCATCCCCCGCTCTTTTCGTGAGGGGGGCACGGAAATAGCACCCCCCAACACAACAAACCCTCCCCTCGGGGGGGAAACAACCCCCCATCCCCGCCCTGAGGCCCTCCTTTCCTGAGGGGGGAGAAGTGT